TTACAAATCATAAATGTACCCTGTGATTGCACCACAATACTGTGCAAGACTACGCTCTAAGAAGAATCAAAGGGATTCCAAAGGCTGCCAGCCATAAAATCTGGGGTACCCTGCAGCTCTTATTAGTACAGTAAAATATCTTGTTGCATTTTATTTAAGAATTTGCCTCTTTAAAATTTCAAGGCCCCCCTTAATAATAAATAATCTACCTCAGGACCCCCCTTGTTGCAGTGGTTAAAATTTCAAGTCCCCCCATTTTATCACCCATCCCCACCCCTCCATCCGATAAATAATGAGGGGTCCCTAAATGTTAATCCCAAGAAAAGTGGGAGCTAAACAGGGTTATGGTAACTGGTAGATCCTGACTTGAATTTTCACTTTACTCTTAGCTAATCTCCTCAAATTCAAGATGGACACTTATTACCATCAAGGTAATCACTTAAAGCTTTGGGTCCTAAGCACACAATATCATTGTAAAATGTCTGTTGTAAGTTTTTTTTTTTGGTTCTAATGATGCAATGCCTGAAGCCTGCAAAGCAAGTTTGTAAGTCAAGTAGACTTCAGTACAGTATTCAACATGCTGAAATTTAACACATATTTACTTGAATAAGGAACTTCTGCAAAGCAGACTAATTAGACATATACTATTCCAAAGCTGTTTAAATCACGTTTTTATTGTCACAAATCCTTAATTACAGCAAAAAATAAATCCACTGCACTTGTAATCTTGTAATCCAGCATAGCATTGAACTGAGACCAAGAACTTTACACAGTTTTCAGTGATACTTCCTCCACAGAGAATGTGCTTTGAAAAAAAAAAAATAAAACAGGATTTTACACACACAAACAATTCTTAAGCTTCATGAAGGTGCAATACAACATGCAAGTGCTGTGCAAAGTTTCACTCACTGACAGAAAGGACCTTAGTTTGTATATTGTTTTTAGGTAGAATTATTTGAGGTTGATGCACTTATGCCACAAAAGGCTTTATGCTTGCATCTCGCTTGGATTGGGGGAAGGGGCGTGGCATAAACCGGGGCAATTTAACAATTTTAAGTTTATCCATAATAAATGAAACTGATCATCCCCAGAAAAAAGGAAGTTATTACAGGCACCTTAATATAAGAGTAAATGTTTATCTGCTTAGCCGCAGCTGTTTAAACATTGGATAGTGTTTTCCACCTGATAATTCACTATCCCGTGGATAAGTATAAGGAAAACCAATTGAACCATCCACTGGATGGAGATTTATCCGCTGAATAACATTTATCCACCTTTTGAGCGACGGCATTCTGGTGTCGAACGTGGTGTGAAAATCTCCCAACAGGGGATGGCTTTTTCTGCCAACTTCCCAAGAGTAACACACTCCACCCAGCCCTCCACCCTAGGGCTAACATTGGGGGGGTTTAATATACCACAATGATGACCACAGTAAAAATGTCATCGAAAAAGTGTTTCGTGTTCTTTCAATTTTCGTTCCAATTATGTCAAATCACCCACGTTGTCAAACGTAAGAAAACTCTCCAAGCCCCACTTGTTCAAAAGGGGGATAAGGCTATTGTTTCTGCTGAATAGTGATTTATCTGGGCCCGCTTCCTTGAAAGATGGTTACGTTTAACCCAGGATTAAGCCAAATTTTAAGCAAGGTTTTCTTGTCTACGAACAAGTAACTGAGCTAATGAAATACTGTTGTGCCCTTACTTCGAAAAAAAGAAATGATAACACAAAATCTTACTCTAAGAAATGCGTAGAACAGTAAATGCAAAAGTGGAACAAAATTTTAATCCTAGTTTAATGCTAATCGGCCTCTCAGGAACCGGGCCCTGGTGAATAGCGCTATCTAGTGTTCAAACTGGGGACCTGGAGTTGAATCCTTAAGAACCATATCCAATTTCAGGTAGAGAAAGTGAATTTTGGGAAAACACTTGTTTACGTCCTACACAAAACATGAAATTAGGCAATTTCATCTCTAATTGTGCAGTGACAGCTGTTCTCTCGTATCGGCTCTACCGCTATGTTGGTGATTTCCAATTATTCATCCTCGCCTGTGAGCTTTTCTTCTTCGTTTTTGTTCTTTACTTCACATACCGTGAAACGAAGAAGATTTACAAAACCCGACGATTTTACTTTGCAGAGGTTTGGAACCTTATGGACTTGACTGTTCTTATTCTGTGCTGGATCGCAATAGCTTATTACTTCATTTGTCTTGGATTAAGGAAATGGACTCTAAACCTTTATCACGAAAACCCTACCAAATTTATTAGTTTTCAGTACATCTCAGCCTGGCAGCTCATGTTCGAGGGCGTGGTTGGAATGACCGTCTTTGCCACGTGCCTGAAATTTATTAAGTTGTTTCGATTCAACCGACGGATCTTTCTCCTATCCCGTACATTGAGACGCGCTGGTGGGGAACTCCTACAGTATTCAATTGTCTTCTTAGTTGTCTTTATAGCGTTTGCGCAACTCTACCACTTTTTGTTCTCCACCGATCATGACTCATTCAATACGCTTTTGGGCTCCATGCAAAAGCTGTTGAGTGTGCTTCTCGGCAAGTTCAATATTGATGAAATGATGAGTGCACACAAGCTTCTAGGAGTCATGATATTTCTCTTCTACATGGTTATAACGAACTTCTTGTTACTCAACATTTTAATTGTCATTATTATCGACTCGTTCAATGTGGTGAAGCAACAGAACGACCAGATGAAGAATGACTTTGAATTGCTAGAATACATCATGGCACGTTTTAAGGACGCCTTTGGCATACGAACACTGAATAGAGAAGCTGCTGCCCTTTTTACATCCCCAAACAACGGTTTCACACCTGCATTAACTTCAAACTCAAGCAGAAAAACACACGTAGAAAATCTCGAGGTCTTCGACAAGATGGAGGATGCGTTAGATAGACTGGTCCGTTATGTTGACACTGTACAGGGAATTGATAACGATGATGACATGCTTTGTTGTTATATATCTCGGACAATTCACAGTGCACCTGCAATCAATATCGAGACAGTTCCTGTTGATGTCCAATCAAGGCGAGCGCGCAGCTGTAACTTTAATTTGTGAGCAGTCAACTTAGCTGGACTTTTGGGCAAACTCGTTAGAATGCGTAGCTGGGTGGATGGATTGCGAGCGATTGTTAGCAAAGAGTACAAAAGCTCCCGTGGCTGTCAAACTGTGAGAAGGACTGGGAGAGATCCTGGGAGTGTAGTTGAAAGTTAAGTAGCTGGTGGAATGAGAGTACACAAAAATAGCAAAGTCAAAGTCAGTGGCATTCAGAAAGCATAGAAACTAAGGCAGGCGAGATACCCCTTCCGCCGGCTGCCTACTAAAAATTTCGATGGTTTTGGAATGCCTTCCTCCCGGCGTTTATCACCAAATGAGTAGCACTCTTATCCTCTCGCTACACAGGGTTCAACTTCGCACTTAGGTTCTCTCCCTTATTAGACTGCGAGCAGTCTCTTATTTTCCTTTGCAAACTTACTGCACGCGAAACCCAAGCACACGAGTGGCGAGCGGCAAAGCCGCAAGCGGCGATAAACGAGAGCCTAAGCCCGAGAAGAAAAAATAAATATAGTATAGTATATCATAATTATAGTATAAGTATAGTGGCTACTATACTACGTACGTAAGATGAAGCAGACTATTTTTCTCAAAACTCCGTGTGTATATGATGGACAACAACAACTCGCCTCGTCCCCACTCCCTTTTTTGGATCACGGCTCCGCCGCCAAAACTTTAATCGCGCCGACACAATACTGCCAGCTACGCAGGTTATTGACCATCAAGTTGTCTCTTCTGAAAGGGATCATTCATTATTTATCAGTGGAAGGGGGGGGGGGATGGGTAAGAAATTAACAAATCTTCCTTTTTTGCCATGAGGCGCCTTAGCAAAACTGGATTTTCCAGGTCCCCCTATTCTATTAGGGGAGCATTTAAATCCCCCGCCCCCCACTTACACACACCTACACACACACACTAAACAGTTTTACTGTATGCACGGATACCGTTTTTTTGTGAGGGTGCAGTGATGTAGCGGTTTAATAGCATATTGGACTTCAGATCTAAATGTCACTGGCTTGAGGCCATGTCACTGCCATGGTGTTTTTAAAATACCTTGTTTGTTTTAAAAAGAAAAGAAACTTCCCTGACAGTGTCTTTCCACCAGGTAGAGCAAATGATTAGTGATTCCCTTCCCTTGAGGAGTAGCAATGTCAGTTGCTTGAATCATGATACAGAAAGCAGATGGTTAACACTTTGTTAAAGTGATTTTGTGTCTAATTGGGGGAATCAAATAAGGAAATTCTAGTTACAAATCATAAATGTACCCTGTGATTGCACCACAATACTGTGCAAGACTACGCTCTAAGAAGAATCAAAGGGATTCCAAAGGCTGCCAGCCATAAAATCTGGGGTACCCTGCAGCTCTTATTAGTACAGTAAAATATCTTGTTGCATTTTATTTAAGAATTTGCCTCTTTAAAATTTCAAGGCCCCCCTTAATAATAAATAATCTACCTCAGGACCCCCCTTGTTGCAGTGGTTAAAATTTCAAGTCCCCCCATTTTATCACCCATCCCCACCCCTCCATCCGATAAATAATGAGGGGTCCCTAAATGTTAATCCCAAGAAAAGTGGGAGCTAAACAGGGTTATGGTAACTGGTAGATCCTGACTTGAATTTTCACTTTACTCTTAGCTAATCTCCTCAAATTCAAGATGGACACTTATTACCATCAAGGTAATCACTTAAAGCTTTGGGTCCTAAGCACACAATATCATTGTAAAATGTCTGTTGTAAGTTTTTTTTTTTGGTTCTAATGATGCAATGCCTGAAGCCTGCAAAGCAAGTTTGTAAGTCAAGTAGACTTCAGTACAGTATTCAACATGCTGAAATTTAACACATATTTACTTGAATAAGGAACTTCTGCAAAGCAGACTAATTAGACATATACTATTCCAAAGCTGTTTAAATCACGTTTTTATTGTCACAAATCCTTAATTACAGCAAAAAATAAATCCACTGCACTTGTAATCTTGTAATCCAGCATAGCATTGAACTGAGACCAAGAACTTTACACAGTTTTCAGTGATACTTCCTCCACAGAGAATGTGCTTTGAAAAAAAAAAAATAAAACAGGATTTTACACACACAAACAATTCTTAAGCTTCATGAAGGTGCAATACAACATGCAAGTGCTGTGCAAAGTTTCACTCACTGACAGAAAGGACCTTAGTTTGTATATTGTTTTTAGGTAGAATTATTTGAGGTTGATGCACTTATGCCACAAAAGGCTTTATGCTTGCATCTCGCTTGGATTGGGGGAAGGGGCGTGGCATAAACCGGGGCAATTTAACAATTTTAAGTTTATCCATAATAAATGAAACTGATCATCCCCAGAAAAAAGGAAGTTATTACAGGCACCTTAATATAAGAGTAAATGTTTATCTGCTTAGCCGCAGCTGTTTAAACATTGGATAGTGTTTTCCACCTGATAATTCACTATCCCGTGGATAAGTATAAGGAAAACCAATTGAACCATCCACTGGATGGAGATTTATCCGCTGAATAACATTTATCCACCTTTTGAGCGACGGCATTCTGGTGTCGAACGTGGTGTGAAAATCTCCCAACAGGGGATGGCTTTTTCTGCCAACTTCCCAAGAGTAACACACTCCACCCAGCCCTCCACCCTAGGGCTAACATTGGGGGGGTTTAATATACCACAATGATGACCACAGTAAAAATGTCATCGAAAAAGTGTTTCGTGTTCTTTCAATTTTCGTTCCAATTATGTCAAATCACCCACGTTGTCAAACGTAAGAAAACTCTCCAAGCCCCACTTGTTCAAAAGGGGGATAAGGCTATTGTTTCTGCTGAATAGTGATTTATCTGGGCCCGCTTCCTTGAAAGATGGTTACGTTTAACCCAGGATTAAGCCAAATTTTAAGCAAGGTTTTCTTGTCTACGAACAAGTAACTGAGCTAATGAAATACTGTTGTGCCCTTACTTCGAAAAAAAGAAATGATAACACAAAATCTTACTCTAAGAAATGCGTAGAACAGTAAATGCAAAAGTGGAACAAAATTTTAATCCTAGTTTAATGCTAATCGGCCTCTCAGGAACCGGGCCCTGGTGAATAGCGCTATCTAGTGTTCAAACTGGGGACCTGGAGTTGAATCCTTAAGAACCATATCCAATTTCAGGTAGAGAAAGTGAATTTTGGGAAAACACTTGTTTACGTCCTACACAAAACATGAAATTAGGCAATTTCATCTCTAATTGTGCAGTGACAGCAAAGAAATGTACAAAAAAGAGTGATACATCAGAGTGCAAAGAAAGTCAGTTTTACAGCTCGCCATTCAGGCAACCTGTAGCTAGTATGTACTAGCCCACTAGCCTGGAAAAAACAATTTTGATCAACAGGATTTATCAGTTTTTCTGTAATCTGAATTTCCCAAAAAACTTCGCTGGCCCATTCGGCAAGTTAAGAAAAGAATTTACTAGCCCAGTAGCAATGTCCACTAGCTCCGGGCTATCAGACACTAATTTCTTTGCACACTGTGCATGTGCATGTGCATTTGCAAAGTTGTTTTTTTTGCTTATCAAACCAATATTGCTTTTTTGATGTTCTTATATCGTTGCCAGAGTGGCATCTTAAACTCCCTATTAACAGAGAAAGTTAAAACCCAGCCAGCCACCTCCAGCAAATTCTGAGAAAAGACTAGTTACAGGGTGAGGGATCCAGAAGTTACAGTGGCTCTGTACCATTGGAAAAAAACCCCTTATCATGTCCCTCCACTTGTATCTATTAAATTAACTGCCTAAACTAGCATCGATTCTCAGGGCTGTCAACCCCCCACGTCATGATATATTGAGAATTGACAGGGAAGGGGTGATAGACGACGTCACCGCACGACAAATGACGTCATTTGTGCCCAAAATGCTCGTTGATTCCGATCGACGTATACAGCACATAAACAGTTCATATTTAGAATTTATGAGGAAACGTTCCATGTTAACAGTAGCTCAAACAACGCAAAATAAATGAAATTTTATGGTCAAAAAGTGGAGTCTACAAGAAATAGCAACTTTGGCGCTTATCCGAGAGATATCTGACTCTAAGATACGGTGCAAAATCTGGAGTTGATAGCACTGGCTCATTCTCATATATTGAAGTCTTCCTTCGATAAACCTAAACAAAACTAACTTACCTTTTAAGTGAGGATAGTCAATGGCGTAATTCAAAGCCATGGACAGGAAAACAATGTGTAGAAACGGCGTCATTCTAGCATTCTTGCATGTTACGTATTTGGCCCGGTAGCTGTTCCANTCACGTGTCTTGCTATTTAGCGATCTTTTGATCTTATTTTTCCTTACCTAGAACCAATTAGCACCGTTTTTACCAAAGTAGTCCGTAGCCTGTATTTTATACGCAGTCCGCAGTCCGCAGTCCGCGTTTTATACCTAGTCCGTGTTTTATACCCAGTCCGTATTTTCCAGTCCGCGTTTTATACCTAGTCCGTATTTTATACTCAGTCCGCAGTCCGTAGTCCGCAGTCCGTAGTCCGTGTTTTATACTGACCGCTTATCAGACTGTAAGATACGATGCAAAATCTGGAGTTGACAGCACTGGCTCATTCTGATATATTGAAGTCTTCCTTCGATAAACCTAAGCAAAAACTAACTTACCTTTTAAGTGAGGATAGTCAATGGCGTAATTCAAAGCCATGGACAGGAAAACAATGTGTAGAAACGGCGTCATTCTAGCATTCTTGCATGTTACGTATTTGGCCCGGTAGCTGTTCCATATTCTCTTCCATCCCTGCCACATAGGATCAGCTCCTCTGGATATATTACCTCCAAAGTAGTCTCCCAGGTTCCGCAGCTTTGTGTCGCCAAAAGAAGTCATCTTTTTCTCGGTTCTTGATCGTCAATACCTCTAAAAATCGCTCTTCACCTTGGCCAAAAAACGATATTTGATTTTTTGCTGCAGGAAAGTATTATGGGTTATAGATATCCCATAGTTCTATAGTGCATTCACAGCAGCGTCCGCTGACAAGATTTTCTTCTTCACGTGTATTTTGATTTCAGCAGCTTCCAGCGAATCGCCCGCGAATCACGAAACTTAACAATGATCAACCCTTTTAGAGACAACTAACTTTTAGCCCAAAAGAGCAGAAAGAATCTCTGATTAGGCTATGTGTATTTTTCGTCCGTATAGTCAGGATTAGACGTTTGAATAACGCAGTTTAGATGTATTTGGCTTCGGTTTTCATAGCTTTTTTCGTCGTATTGATCACTGCTGTCTATTGGCTGAGAGGGCGAAAAGACAAATCCAAACCAAGGATTTGTGTCCTAGTCCTTGGAGATGTTGGTAGAAGTCCCCGCATGCAGTACCATGCACTTTCTTGTGCAAAGGCGGGATTTGATGTAGACCTAGTGGGATTCGGAGGTATGTGATATATTGGCCTTTTATTGGCCTCTTCTGTAACTTCAGGAGTTTTTGGCCCGGGGGTGGGGGGTACTCGATATATTCCTGGGTGGGGAGGTGCGGCGCGGCCCCTCATACCCTGAACCTGTTTAAGACAAATATCGCTGATTTTCCTACCCTGTTTAAGACAGAATTCCGATTTTTGATACCCTGTTTAAGACATTATTTTATCCTGTTTAAGACAAAAATTGATAAATCGATACCCTGATTAAGACAAAAAATGATAAATTCGATACCCTGTTTGAGACAAAAATCCCGAAAAACATACCCTGGCTGGCCGCACGTCCCCATTAAGCCCTTTATAAGGGATTACCCCCCCCCCTGGGGTTTTTGGGCCCCTGATTATAGATTCCTCCTCCTTTCTTCCATTCCCGTTGCATGTTGACAAGGTACTTAAATTTCTACCACCACAGGCAAGATATAATAGACAGATGTTCTTACATGTCACTACTCAAAATCTCCTATTTTTTGCTTTTTTCCCTCTTAAAAAACATTTTCTTGGCAATAATGAATTATTAATTAATTATTAATCAAATTAAATATTAATTACCCTTCAGAAAAATTAATGAGATCAAAGGAGTAGCATATTTTTTATCAGCCACCCTGTCAGAAATGACCTCTTGCATCAATCTGAAAGGTGCGGTGGGAGTGGGTAAAGTGGATATTGGATAGGCTGCTTCTCTGGTCCTTTTGGACATCAGCCCCTTGGTGATCCACAGGGTAAGAAAAAAACACCATTAAGGATGGGGTGGTATGTAAAGCTAAGGGAGAGGAAGTTGGTGGGGGCAGGGGTGGGGAGTATGATCTCAAGGCTGGCAGCACATCTTGGCACATCCTGGCCCCATCTCATCATGGTTGTTTTCAGTCCCCTTGTTGGTGAGAGGAATCACAGGGGCCAAGGGTGGTGGGTAATTAACAATTATTCCACGTGTGCACGTTGGATATGAGATGGTGGATAGCCAATGAGGCGCATAGTGCTGAGTTGGCTATCATCATCCCATACCCAACAAGTGCAAGTGGAATAATAATAATTCCACTTATTGTTTTATTAAAAACGCCCATAAAATATCGAGAATTCTTCCCGACTTTATTTGTTAAAACAACTGATTTTCAGCTTGTTATTAATTTTGGGCAGATGCTTACAATTACCATACTTGGAGAGCATGGTGTAATGGCTCATATACCATGATGGCGAAGCCAGTCAGAGCTCTAGTTAGTTAGCTCTACAGTTTTAATTATTCTGAATAGTTTTATGAACTTTTTAAAGGTTGTTGTTTAATCTAAATATTTTGTAGGGTCCAGCCCTATCAAGGAACTCACAGAGAGTGGAAAGGTCTCTATACAGATTTTATCAGACTTTCCAGAAATATTTAGAGGTAAGACTTTCAGTAATGCTTTAGTCACTGGGCCATGTGTGTTTCTGTACCTCCCAGGGGGTGTACTCCATTATATGGCCTATACAGCGATGTGCTGCTATCCATGGTATGGTTTTTGTTCTCTCTGTTCTAAACAGTGTACACTGTATGATGATTTTGGGTGAGTCTGTCCTAAACAGATTATATAATTTCATTTGAGTATGTCCTAATTATAAACAGGGTATTGCCCGTACGACTGAGTTGATTTGCTTGATAAAATTTGTTTGTACTCCAAATATTACAAAAGCAATGACTATACTGTGACTTTTCTCAACTGTAATTGCCAATGAATGGCTTTAAAACAAGATGGTGTGAAATTGACCTTTGTCCTCAACAGGTTACATGCAATAAAGGTTAGGTTGTCATCCTAATCAGGATATGTTTTTTAGGGTTTTTTAATTTGTCCTAAACAGGGTCAGGGTTTCAAACCCTCCACTGGTCGAGTACAATCCCCCCCACCCCCTCCCCCTTCACCACCAGGCTGTTCCTTCTGTGTAACGTGGTGTCACATGAAGCAATTCTAATGCGCAAATCTAAATAGTAGTAGTATGCTAACAGTTGAAACTGCATAGAAGGAAACAAACTATTAAACTATAATTGTGCAAATGTTTGCAAAGCAAAGCTTCATTTTGAATTACTTCTGTCACAAGCTGCAATACAATGCTAACAGGAAAGAACTTTTATTGATTTTCTCAATCTTCATTATAGGTTTGCCTAAATTGGCATTTTTTGCAGTAAAGGCAGTATTGCAGTTTATCCAGCTCTTTTCCGTCCTCATATGCTGCGGGTCTCAATGCACACATTTTTTAGTCCAGGTATTCAAGCAGTTATTTTATGGTACAGGTAATAAAAGGTCTAGGAAAGACCACATAAATAAGAGCTCAGACTCTGGCCTGTTTACAGCCCCTATTTTTACTGAAGATCATTTGGATCAAGCGTTTACCATTTCAAGATGTCATGGCTGATCAGGGTTTCAAGAACGTTGTGGGGGCAGGCATCCAGGTGTAAACCATTGGGGAGAGAGGTTAGAAAAAATGGGGAGACTGTATGTAATAACTTCATCACAGCTCATTTTAAATGAGTTAGTTGCTCCAGTAATGCAAATGTCTGATTGGTCATCAGTCAATATGTTTTAAATCGGGCTTCATAGCATATTTAGTAGACACATGGTGACAAATATGAAAATGGCTTTTGCACATCTATTGTGAGAAAACACCTTTGCCTGGAAGTGGAGTTTCCAAGCAAAAACAAGAAGGAATGGTCAGAATTTGCTAGAGGGCAGGAAGGAGTAGATTTGCTTTGCCTTGCAATTGCATGCACAGTACTGTGTATTACAGCATATTCACTCAGTAATGCCTGATGATTTTGACCTTTATTAATAAAGACCAGCAAGAAGCCAGGAATGCTGACAACTCAGCCAGCCATCTGTTGCATCTTAAATAAATTATAGATTTTCAGTTGAAAATTAATCTATTGTTTTTTAATTTCAAAATCACACGATAAAATTTGGTATGTATTACCTCTGTGGGGAATATGTCAAAATTTTGATGTTAAGGTTACGGTTGTAAATACAATGAGCATACCATAAATCCCCTATTAAGCCCCCTGGGTGCTTTTGTTAATATATTTTTTTTTTTTTTTTTATAACAAAAAAAAAAAAAATTTTTAGTTATTTATACTTGTTGTAGATAATAATTAAGATTTTTTTTTTGATGATGGTGTTAAAAAAAAAAAAAAAACAACAAAAACCCCCCTATCCGCCCCCCGTGTTGTTTTTTTTTTTTATTAAGTGGGGGGGGGGGGGGGGGGGGGGCGCTTATTTAATTTTAACGAAGATGATGGTATCAATTCTCCACTAAAGCTAAAAGTAAAGTGGAAAAGCTCAGGCACATGAAGATGGAGGTGATGCAGCCAGGAGAGATGAAAAAAAATATCTGAACTTCCAGCATGTGAATAAATCATACCAGGTCGCAGATCAGTCCACATGGTGTGTTAAAGTCTACCATTTAAGAATAAAGGGGGAGGGCAGAGGGGGGGCCTGAATAACTTTCTTCCCCTAAAATGGGGGGGTGGGGGCTTAATAGAGGATTTATGGTAATTCTTTATCTCATACTCAGCCTCATCCAATAACTGCTAATTGTTTCATTAATAGAATCCTCCAGCTATTCCATCACTTGCTGCCGTCTGTTTTGTAAGCATGTTATGTGGTAGCAAGTTCATTATCGATTGGCACAATTATGGCTTTACAATTTTGGCCCTCGGAGTGAAAAACGATGGACATCCTTTGGTGAAGATTGCAAGATGGTAGGTCTCTTTTCTGGGGCCTTATGACCCAAGCAATGTACAATGTCAAGTCGGAGATTAAGTTCTTCCTGACGCTAATTAAGGGGGCTGTGTTACATTTTCCTAGTTCATTTGGTTAATTTTGCCAATAACGTGTCTTTATACGATAAGGAAATTAACATTAGTGAGGAATCACAGCTTTGTTTCTAAGAAATATCTCTTGCAAAGCATCGTAAGTCATGCGTTAAAAACAACAAATGGAACTGGAAAAACTGTTAGGCTAACAAGTTTTCGAAAATGACAACTGCAATGTGTTTTAATTTTCTCCAAGTTTGTCCATTCGTGCCCTCTTTTGTATACGTTACCTTCTTTTATCAGGGGTGGATCCAGGTTATTTTTTTAGGAGGGGGTGCACTCGTCTCTTGCTGTACTTCAACACCAATAAACCACATAGTTTTTTTTTTTTGCAGAATACCAGTTGTATTAGAAAACCGCAGGTCATCTCAGGGGGGATGCGCACCCCCTGCACCCTCCCCCTAGATCCGCCCCTGTTTATTGTCTCTGGCTGTTTGAATTTTGATAAATTTCGTGACACAGCTCCTTTAGAGCTAAGATGTCAAGGGAGAGTATTTTTCAATATTTTGTAGGTATGAGTTCTTCTTTGGAAGCATGTCCTCACATAATTTATGTGTCACTCAAGCAATGCAGAAGGATTTGTGGGATCACAGGGGAATTAGGTTTGTAAACAATGATTAGCAGACAGTACATTTAATTATTGGTTTCATGAGAAATAGTTCATTTTGTTTCCAAAAAACAGCCAAACATTGAGAATTAAGGGGATCTGCAGTCATTAGTAATTTGATGGCACAACAAGCACAAGATCCAAGCGTACCCTAAATATGAAAATTACAGGCAACAGCTAGATCTCAACAATCACAGGCTATGGTGCGTGGCCCCCTTAGACTAAAGAAAAACTGAGACTTGAGAAAAAATATTTTTGAGTGGACCCCCTTTCTTCAAGGATTTAATCCATTACTGACTCTCAACCTCTGCTTTCGTAGATTTTGGTATTTTAATTGGCAGTTTTAGCGACTTTTAGCAGAAAATAGTTTCATTCATTTTTGTTAGATGAATGAGCCAATGAGAGCATGCATATTTTTTCGTGAAAACCATATAACAATAATATTTTGCATTTGTGTTAGGGTGGTTAATTCTGTTGAGGCTAAAGGTAAAGGTTTTGCATTGTCAAAGTTGTAGTTTGCAATAATAACCTAAACATTTTTGTAGCATCTTGATAGAATGTAATTTATGTACATAACAGTATCTAGTGACCTTTTTTTCCTTTTCACACTCTCAGTTTTTTAATTGATGTCTTTCAGTAGATTGACAACTTCCTTTTAGCTCTTCAAGTTAAAAAAAAATACTTACAGTGCATGTACAGCTGTGTACCATACTATCTTGTTTCCAGGGCAGTCACACTTTATGACAGACCTCCATTACGTTTTCAAGCAGTGGATCTTACTTCACAACATGAGGTGACTTATGCTTGTTTGTCTGTTAATAAAATTGTCCAACATGGTGTGCATTTCATTGTTTTCCTTTTGTTTTTATTGCATGGTAAATTTAGTATTTCCCATAGTTCTGTTGACAGTTTGCTGCTTGTAGTGCAGAAAATGAAAATGGGTACAAAAAGAGTGGTTGGAATATCGATATATTGACTTTTAGAAACACACTTGTAAGCCATCTAAAATTTGGGGAAGAAACCTTAGAAACACAGGTAATATACACTAATAACATACATGATTTAAATCGAGAGGTAAAACAATGCAATAATTATTATTTGGGTAATCAGGTTACATTATTCTTGGAAAGTAATATCATCAATTCAACATTTCTATTTTTGTAGCTTTTTGAAAAACTATCAAAAGAATATGAAGTTTTCAGTGCATTGGAAAGGTAATAACTTTTATGTGGCTTTTTAATGTAGTAAGAAATTTTCAAGTGACCTTCCCATTTATCTGAATAAGGACACTTTGACACATTATATTTTAGTATTATAAGTGTTAAGTTAACATTATTTTTATCCCATTTAAAGCCCTTCAGAATATAAGGAAAATGTTGCTTCCATGACAGCATTTACACTCCAGCTCAAAGATGGGAGAGTTCTCAACAGACAGCACCGATCTGCTCTATTGGTCAGCAGTACTAGCTGGACAGGTAGCACCTACTTTCTTCCTTTTGAAACAGGATTACATGTAGATACCAGTATGGATGTCCATAGCAGATCAATCTTGTCTTTGTCTCCTAGCCCTAATTCATTGATAATTAGAGCTAGGAGACAAAGGAAATAGAGAATGAACCTAGATTACAAAATTTTAACCTGTAACATATGACACACAACCTCATACCATTACTTCATAGTAAGACATCACACAAAATAAATGGTTTTTTTTTTCATTTTATCATATGCCTTTGTTTTTAATTTTACAGAAGATGAAGACTTTTCCATTCTTTTGGATGCTCTTGAAGGTAAGAATTCTTCATTAAATTTTCCTGTTTCTTCTGGTAGAACATGTGAGAGGGGAAATGAACTTGTTACTTAATACTTGGACTTGACTTCTATTAATAATCTCATGGTTTGTTAAATTTCAACAGCCTATGAGAAGTTTATCACTGAAAATAAGGAAAATCTTCCCTCGTTAGTTTGTGCAATAACTGGTGAGTTTTAAGCTCATGTCAAAGCGTTTAGACAATTTTTTTTAAATGTTACTTTAATTTAATGAAATACAAATCTGCTCATATTGTTGTTTTCCTTTCTCAGGCAAAGGACCTTTAAAGAAATATTACCAAAACATAATTATTAATGAAAAGGATTTTAAACATGTGAGAATATGTACTCCATGGCTGGAGCCAGAAGATTATCCAAGACTGCTTGGTAGGCCATTTACTCTATATCAATTTTATGAAAGGTTACTTTTAAAGTTGTTGCATGTCACAAGACACAAGGTTCTCATTGCTCAGAATGTCAGATCGAAAATATCCAAAGATGCCTGAAGATTCTTTCCGAAGGCGTTGGAAGATATCTATAGACGTTTATCAGATTTTAAAGTCATTCTCACTCTTTTGGCACTTCAATGTCTCCAACATCTCGTACAGCAACTGGAAGTCAAGAAGGCTCATGTGCTTGGACTTCTGTTTTCTGAATATAAAAAGTAATGGGGTTAAATAACAGTCTTTGATGGAAGAACTATAGAAGGTAGTTCAAATAAAGAGTTCAAAAACAAGTTCTTGTAGTTCAAGATGTACATTTAGTTTCTTGGCCCCTGCAAGCTAAACGCAAAAGTTTAGGCGAGAGCAAATGGGAAAAGGAAGTGGTTTGCTTTGTTTAGCTCTTACTTTAACTGTTACTTTCATTTTTCACACTAACGCTTGCTACTCAGGCTTGAATCAAAGGGTAGCTATTTCTTGAGGTTGTGTCCACCAAGTTTTGTTCACCAAACTAGTAGTCATTTTCGCAAAACCAAGAAATTCTAATTTGTTTGAAGCGAAGGAGTTGGCAAAATGTCACATAAGAATAGAAATAAATAATAATAATAATAATAATAATAATAATAATAACAATAATAACAATAATAATAATTGCAATAATAATAAATTAGATGTATATACTTTCAGGTTCAGCAGATCTTGGTGTGTGTCTTCATAAATCTTCCTCAGGACTTGATTTACCGATGAAGGTCAGTCTACTTAGAGCTTCATTACCTTCGTTCTATGCTTCCTGATCCCTGCACTTGAAGAGTTAGATTGCTTTATACCTGAAGAAACTTCACCTTATGCTTTAAGTCTGTGATAAATTAAATTTTTTGACCATTATAATGTACTCATGGCTATCAACCTGTTGCCTGCGTAGCATTCGTTTAAGTGGGAAGGGAAGGGGGAATTCGGGCGATGTCACCTGAATGGCGCCCTCGCGCGCCCAAATACAGTCAAAACCCGCAACTAAGAACCTACATTTTTAGGAGTTAGCCTAAACAGGTTCTTATATAAATGGTAGTTAACAGAATTTTAGGCTTTTTAGGTTCTTAAAATTGGTTCTTTATCCTGGAGAAAAAACAATTAAAACGCAGCTGCAAACAAGTTGGTCATTAGCCTATACTTTTATTTTCTTCAGCCCCACCCCCTCCCCCCCCCCAAAAAAAACATTTAGGAATATATCAATTTTCTTTAAAAAAACATTTATAACATAGCGCGCGTGCTTGCCCTATACAAGTCCTATTGAGCCGCTATGAACAAAATCTTTATTTACGCACGCCCGTGCGTAAATAACATGACGTAAGCATTTTTTTTTTTAACCTGGCTGCAAAGTTGTTGTCTTTTAAGCTGCAGTGCACTTTTCCTTCTCTTTAAAATATGGAAGAAACCAGTGAAATACTGCCCAATTTTTCTATCGGCATTGACCTTTTAGATCCTGATCCAACAAGCAGCAAAAATAAAGCCGAATTAAAAAAAACTCGCAAGTTGCGCGTTTCGCCAATTTGTCGAAGACAAGCTGCAGCAAATTTTGGCTGAAAGACATTCACTGGGAACAGAACAGACACCAACTGGTCATCAACAACATTTAAAGGCAAAATCTCCGTTTTTATTGTTGTTTTTAAATTTGTTATGCACTTTGTTATCTCCCGGGACAATCCGACTTAAGCAGGAAAATTTATCTCGCAATAACAACACAAATTACACAAGAAGACATAAATTTACTAGTCACAAAAACAACTGCTGCCAGGTCTTCTCAAGAAGCCGTAATGACCAGCCAATGTTCGTAAATGAATATAAGTTTAAAGAAGGATAACAGTCGTCTTCGCTAAAAACATGTTTTCTGGATTTCGCCGAGCAAAACGTAAACATCTTTTCAGCAAATCCAAACCATACTCCACGACTTCTTACGAACATGTTAGTATTTTAACTTAAGGTGAAGTTTAAGACTCTTTTACCTTTGTTTCTGCTTAGTTTCCATTGATCGTTAACGAATAAAGAAGCAAATTTTCTTTCTCACTTTTACAAAAAGAATATTTTCATTCAAACTAAAGGATTGTGGCGTGTTCGCAATCAGCCAACAGAACCGTTTGTTATTGTGTCGCGCGTTACGAGAATTTTGTAGGTTAATCAAAAAGCAAGCATTTTTGTCAGCTATGTTATAAAAGAATTTGCTCATGCTTTTAGCTGTGCGTATATCGAGTTATGGATGCACTTGGGAAGTTTGGAGAGCACTAAAGAAGCTAGAGTTGCACTCGGCTATCGCCTCGTGCAACTCTTACGCATCTTTCGTGCTCTCCAAACTTCCCGCGTGCATCCATAACTCGATATACGCACGCTAAGCATGAACAAATTCTTAATTTTACAACAATGGCAATGTGCTTTTTTTGCTTCAAATATGATTCTTGCAATGCAGCTGTAATGTACTATTATGATTTAAGAAAATAAGAACCTGTTTTAAATTTCTTAGGCTAAATAGGTTCTTGTTTATAGGGGGTATAAATGACCAATTTTAGGCTAACAGGTTCTTAATTTTTAGGTTCTTAGTTGCGGGTTTTTACTGTACCCAATTCAAACCAAGGGTGACCTTCTATGTATGGCATATACGGGGATGTGCCGTCGTGTGTAGCTTACTGAGAACAGGATCCCAAATTCGGAGAATTCACCTTTTTCTTGTCTAGCCGGCGAGCAAGCTCTCCATTCGCGGGAGTCACGAGAAGTCACGCGAGAGCCGCACGCCAAACAACAACTGCAACTTTGTTCATACCCAACAGTATACTATACTGATAAACAAAATGAATTAACAAAAATATAGAGGAGTACAGGCTGCCCCAAATAACCATAGGAACTAAAGAAAATGGGCAGCCATAAGGAGCAGTTAACAGGAGACGTAAGTACGAGGGTCGCTCGGCCTCGCTCGCGCGTTAGCTCGCGCGCCCTCTCGCTTGCTCGCAGGCTATTTCTTGTCTGGAACAAGTTCAGAGACGTGGAGAATACGCAGCATATGCTCTCGTAGAAAATTTAAGGAACCACCGCCTGGGAACGGATGGTACGTCGGAGTCGTAACTAACAGTGCACACATGTATATTGTCCTTATCAGGTGGTTGACATGTTTGGATGTGGCCTACCAGTGTGTGCTATACATTTTGATTGGTAAGAGTGCGGACTAACATTTCATTTTTTGTTATGTCACCACCACTCTTGATTTTTGAGGAAGTCATCCAGGATGAAACTTCGTTTCTGTCTTTTGCATCTCATTAGCGTTCGATCTTGGACATATCTGTTTTCTTCTCTTTTTCTTTCAGCTTACATGAGTTAGTGAAACATGAAGAAAACGGACTGATATTCCATGACAGCTTAGAGCTCGCTCAACAACTGAAGGTATGTTTCATGAATCTGGCACCATCTGTTACAGTCTTGTTGCCTCCAGGAGTATAACTGAACTTCCAATAGACCGTTGCACGGTTTTTACAAGTTTTGATAAAGACCAGTAAGCGAATATCCATGGACACTGCTGAACATTTACAAGTATAATGGTAATACGTCCAAAGCGAGCGAAGATATTGCTTTCACAAAGTCGCGAAATTTTACAGACGTTTGCCATAGTGAGGGCAAGCATGCGTAGCACGCGTTTCCGTTTGGTTTCGGAGCAAAAAGAGCTCTTGGAAGGGGACTTTCGGTTTTGACCGCGCGAGAAATGAAACGAGAACCAAACTTTCCCGCTCTTTAACTTGTGCCATTTTTCGCGCGGTCTTTGACTCTTGTTCCTAAACCGCACAGAAACGCTTGCTACGCAGGCTAGGTGAGGACAAGAGCTTGACGCCCCACCAAACAAAGGGCTGTAAAATTCCGCGACTTTGCGGAGCTATTTCTTCTTCAGTTCAAAACAAACCACTTTTAAACTTGTCAGTTTAACAGATTTTTAGGTGTTAGTCCGTCCAGCCACGTTGACGGAGTTTTGCTGACTGGTCCCGTCATTCACAAGTCCTTTATATTAATTTTACGGTTAGCAAACGCACCAGAGTGTTTGTACTGCACAAGAAAAGTAAAGTGTTTTTCAATCAATCTAAAAAATGTGTCAATTCATAAAAATGGAAAGTGACTAAGTTGGGATCGCGAAAATTACGTATTTGCCCAAAAGTGACTAAGATGGGGTCTATAATTGATCACAGAATAGACGATAATGGGGTAGGGGCCCTGAGGGGCCAGCGGCACATATCCAGCAAAAATTACCCCAAGTAACCCCCCCCCCCCCCCCCACCCCCCTCCCCCCCCAAAAGCCCCCCCCTCCACAAATTTAAAAAATTTTTTTTTTTGGGCGGTTTTGTGTATTTGCCGGGTTTTTGTAAAATTTGAATTTATATATGTGGTTGTGGGTGTTCTTTTTTTAGGGTTTTGCTTTTTGTTTTTTTTTTTTTTTTTTTTTTTGTTTTTTCCCCCCCCCCCCCACCCCCGAACTCCTCTACCACGCTAAGAGCCTGCCTTAGCATAATTTAACAAATTTTATCTGTTGGTCAGTTGATGTATGTATGCCGAGTTTCGTTAAAGTTAGTAATTATATAGGTGTCTGGGTGTTCCCTTTGTCGAGGGTTTTCCCTTGGTTAGTTTTGTTTGTTTTGTTTTGCAATTACTGAAATAAGGTTATGTATCCATCTTTTGTTGTTATCTAAGCTTTTATTTTGATTGTTCTTTTGACATTATAGCAAAACCTACCTATATGCTCTTCAGTATGGGCCAGATATTAATAATTGTTCTTAACAGTATGAGTCTTTTCAGTCGCTTAATTGGTCTTCATTTTCTTTGACAGAAACTTTTTAAAGGGTTTCCTTTGAGCAAACCTTTACTCTCAAGTTACAAAGAAAATCTTGCAAGTTTTCAAAGGACACGATGGGATGCGAGCTGGAATAAGATTGTCCTCCCTCTACTAAAGGAAATTTGACAGTGCTTGTGCGTTTCATAGAAATGTTTGAAATGGCAGCTGACGAGTAAATCAGGAAAAATTTACAACTGAAATGTCGTCAAGGAGATTTGTAATAGGCAATGAAAAACTCTGCTGGAATTGTCTCGTTGGGTCACATTTTGGTTTTTCATCGTGGTCTAAAGTTAAATGGTAAAGAGGATTGTCGTTAGTTCGTCTCACGATGTAATCACTTGAGGTGTAAGATCGCCAAGCGTCACGTGCTTACTCTTAGTCTTCGCAGCACAATCATTTGTATCACATGACCCGCTGTGATTGGTTCATTGGGTCCTCTCTTTAACGGCAGACGCAGAATTTTTGCACTTTTTTTCTTTGGTGTTAGTCTGTTGGAGACACAACCGACACAACCTCTCTCTCGTCCTCTCTCGCACGAGAGACCCTGGCAACGAGGAGTTCAGACTAATGTCTTGAAGGGCCCCCCAAAAAATGGTCTCCAAGGGCCCTCCTCAACACCTAAATGACCGTCTTCTCGGGTGGAGCCTTCCGGTATGGAAAATATTGATGGTCAGCCCCACTGGATCAGATAAATGGACGTTATCTGCTCTTTGTGGTTAATTTACTAATTTACAATAAGCAATAAAATGTTTAGTACAAAAATAAGCTTACCAGATAATTGCAAAATGTGTTATTAGAGCCTGAGAACTACTGAACTTAACAAAATTAAAGACGCTTTCTGGTTAGCCCCCAGCCTTTTGGTTTCTAGGTTAGACACAGGTTAAAGGTATATGCTAAGAATCAATTTAACTTATTTAAGATGTGAAAGCAAAGAAATATATTCAATAATTAGGAGATTTTAGGTGCAAAAGGTGATCTTTTTTAATCTTTCCAAAGATCAGTTGCCATGAACGAAATTCCCTGACTTTGGACAGCGTCTTTGGTCTATTTAACTTGCTTCGTCGTTTTTTTTATATTTTAGCCAAATCTTTGGTTTTAAGATTGAGCGGACCAGCTCTTTTGTGATAAGTGCTTTTACCTGCACTAAAGGTGCTGCCAGTTTTAGCGGAGTAGCCTCTGTTTTAAAACGAGGGTAAGTGTAAATCCCTCGATATTGTTATTTTTTTATTTTCATGCCCTGATTTTCATGCAAATAAACTCCTTTTTGGAACAATGTGTTGCTCTCGGCCACATTTTGACAGTGGTGGTTTTTGGAACTTGGAAATGACCTGTTTCTTCATTCCATCCTGTGGGTATCAGTGGGCTTTTATATAGACCACTTAATTCTAAACGTCCTCTGGGGACTTATCACTTGCTATTGTACAACAGCAATAACCCCATCGTTCTTTTTAGTGACAAATTAATTAAAGATCATGGTCCTCAACGACCTCAAGAATCACTGCTCATCGGTTTCCTGCCGTGGTTTTGCTTGTCTTAATAAATTCTTGCTCACACTTCCAATACAAAAAAGCTGTAAAAACTATGCAAGTAGTTAAACTCTCATAACCGTATTTTTAACGTAGGTGTTCCAAAAACACGAAGATGAAAGACCAATAAGAGGAAAAATAAAAGAAAGTGAAAAAAATAATAATAAAAAGGAAAGAAGAAAGGAGCCAGCTGAAAGAGCGTACACGCTACCCCACTAAGCGCATCATTCGGGCAGATCTGAAAGCCAGTCAGAGAAAAACGTTCACGTTTCCAGTGCGGAAATGATTGTTCTTGAATGATGGCAATTGAAAAACTGAGACAAAGCGGTTAATCGAAAGTTGAACAAGGACTCGAATTTTATTTTTCCGGCGAGGATCAGTAAACAGCAAGCCGGAGGGGGAAATGGCCGCACGTTAATGTGGTAAAAATCTGAGAACTATGTTTGTATGCGGAAGCGAGTAAAAATATATCCTTGTTTGCGAAAGTAAAAATATGTCAATGAACTGAAAAGCGAGCAGGACAGTTGTACTCTATGAGTGAGTGCGGTTGCCGTGGAGTCCAACTGTACGGTCACAAATTCAATTCATTGTTGCCTGGGCGAAAGTCTAATAAAAACTGGAGTTACTTGTTTGGACAAGTGATGTGAATGAATCGCGTACGCTGCGGAATATGATTGGTTACAACAAAGAGAGTAGCACACCTACATGTATGTTAAAGGAAAGACGTGGCCGACGACACAATCAATGCTAAAACTCATGATAATAAGCGTAGAACAAAAGGATCATTAATAGAGGATTTAATTTTTTGCAGTACGGTGTTTAAAGGGTCTTTAAGGCTTTGTAATATGGAGTCTTTCGGGCACCCATTAACGGCTTTCATTTGAAAATTTCTGGATTTGCATTCAAGTATTTTTGTAAAATGAAATTGTCTAAATATACTCGCATGTGTGATACAAATGATTTGCAGCAGTTTTTCGTGTGTGGAACGAGAAGGAATAAGTACGGTGGGTAGATAAAAGAAAGCACGATCATTTTTATCAATTTTAAAATGAAAATCAAAATTAAAATCAATCGCACAATAAGTTATTCAGATCGTGTGTGATGAGAATACACGTCGTGAGACAGACGCTTAGCGATTGTAAACTAAATATTGATTTCCACTTCGTGCCGGCGCAAAGAAAAGTTTTATTAGGGTCCCCCACGGGCTATATGAACTCCTTTGAACATGAACAGTATGATGATTTCGTGACTTCGCCTGGATAAAATTGGAGACGTGCCCTTACTGATTGGATCGAATCAGTAGTCAGCAGCGCCATCTGTCGACACTTGAAATGACTTTACAAACCGTCTGGCTCACGAGACATCATCATATCTCAGCGCGTGTAAATGTGCTCATGCGAAAAATGAAAGAGAATGCGAAGCGGGCGTTGCCTCCACGCGGAAATAAAAGCATTTCCAGGTTTTGAGCGCTTAAACAAAGGCTTAAAGGATTGATAACCAGTAATTTTGGATAAAAACAATATACCACAGGATTGTCTCGAAGTCTAATGACAGACAAGAATTTTATACCGACCACATGTTGACAGCTATTAATGATGAATGACGGGCCACGACATGGCTTTTTTCCAATCAAGATGATAGAAGGCGGTCCTCTTATTCGTTTCCTGAAGGCGCGGATGCTAGGCAATTCAAATAGCTCCACTCTGTGATTGCACACCTTCCCAATTACACGCTTTGGGCGTCATTGATCTCGCTCACTGAATTTCTCAAGCGTTTAAAAAACAGTTTTTAGCGACGTTTTACCGATTTCGTACTCGGAATTAGTCAGACGCGCGCAAACGACATGGCTACCAAAACGTTCAGATGGAATTTTGGGCTATTCAACGAAGCCTCGAAAAGATATCTCACGCTCGAGACGTTCGGGTTCAAGTTAAACGTGGACGGGACTGCGCTGAAGAAGAAACAAATGTGGACACTGGAGCAGGAAGAAGGTAGCAATATTTGTTATTTTCGAAGCCACCTCAACAGATATCTGTCGGCAGATCGCAGAGGCAACATGAAATGCGAGGACGAAGAGCGAGTCGAGGAAGCGAAATTCACTGTCGAGACACAGCCCAGCGGAAAGTGGGCCATAAAAAGTGTACATGGGGCATACTTCGGTGGAACTGGTGATCAGCTTCGATGTGTGGCGAAACCTGGCGCTTCAGAGTTATGGTGTATTCAGCTTGCGATGCACCCACACATCAACCTGATGAGCTCGCGAAGAACGCGCTTCGCTCATCTCAACACCAAGACGGACACGCTCGAAGCCACCGAGATTATACCTTGGGGAGCGGACGCCACGATCACTCTGGAGTTCGACGAAAAAGAGGGGAAATACGCGATCGCAGCGAGCAACAAAAAGTATCTGACGAACGATGGCTCGCTTGTAGAGGATGCCAGTAAGAAGAGTTTGTTCACCATTGAATTCCATGAGGGGGAGGTGGCTTTCAGAACCGACAAGGGTACTTACCTCGCTCCCGTGGGAACAGGAAAGATTCATGCCGGCAAAAACACCACCGTCGGAAAAGACGAACTGTTTGACGTCCAAGATAGCCCGCCGCAAGTTTCATTCATTGGACCGAAACCAGGCAGGCGACTGTCAATTCACCAAGGTACGAAATTTCTCTATGTAGTGTACAATATTCTGTTGTTTTAGTTTGTGTTTTGTTTCCCACTGAGCTACTTCCGTTGTATTTATTCTATATATACGAAGCCTTACCCCTGTCTATGAATCATTGACATTAACAAGCTCGTTCCGATTTCATTCATAAAAATGCAAATTTTTCTGTGTTTACAGGCCAATCTGCAGGTTTGAAGATGCTTTTGTGTGTCCGTTCTTTATCTTGTTTGTTGTTGACGGTGATTTGAATGGATTAACAAAAATGGCTTTGCACTCGATAAACTTGACCACGTGTAGGTAGAAAGTAGCGAGTCTAAAATGTTGCAGTTACAGCAATCGCTTCTACGACGGCAATTATTTGGGCGAAAAAAACAAAAAACAAAACAAAAGTCATGTTTATGATGAATTTCAAAGAGATTAGACGTCCTGGTTGATTCCACGCGGCGAGAAGTTGAAAGCAACTGTGTACATAACAATAATTATTATGCCAGTGACTCTATAAGAACAATACAACAAAAAAAACCGATCTTATTATATGACCAACAGTTCTGTAAATTCTGTAAATCGCCGATTAAAATTACTCACGCGGAAAATATGCGTGAAAAGTGTTCATAACTTCTTTCTTTGAAGGATTTTTTCAGCTGCTGGGGTCAACGAAAAAAAATTGTTGATAACTTCTGTGTCGTGTATTTATCTTGAATCTAAGGAATTTTTTCGAATTGTGATCGCTGTTGTAATGTTGATCGATAGATCTTTTTGGTCCCAAATCTCGAGTTTTCAGAACGTGCCAGTATGCAGACACATACTAATCCATATCCCCTTGTGATCATAAGGCTACAATTTTGCCTATCTAATCCAGCCATGATGTCACGCAACAAAAGCAGTGTGTCGAGTTATATTATGATCATTGTCATTCTCATTGTTATTTTTGCTGTCCT